AAAAAGTACTATGTCAACGACTATAAGTTGAAACAACCTGAGATTTTCCTCACATATAGTTGTATTTATGTGGAAGATAATGTGAAAGTCTGAGCTCAAAACACCTCGGGAAGATAGAGTTATCAGTTTCATAACATATTAGCACAACTATATGTGAGAAAAATCTGAGGTTGTTTCAACTTATAGTCGTTGACATAGTACTTTTTCCTGATAAAATTACCCTTATAGCTATAGTAGTGAAAACGTTCTAACTCCTCAGAAACAAGCCAGAAACTCGAACTTTTTTAACCATAGACGCAGCTCACTAAGGACTACAAGATGCACGAAACACCGACTGAAAAGCGTTCCGACACCTGAAAATGTTCCCTAGTCAGTTCTGATGGATATATTTAACAGTTCGTCAAGTTAGAACTATTGGCCAACTGTTGTACCCCTAATTATGATGTTCTGACAATATTTTTACAATGAAGACAGAAAATGTTCGGATCACGATAAAGTGCGGGCTCGCATTTTGATTGGTTCACTTTCTCCATATGAAGTGAACCACATTTCTTTGACTAGAATGTTTGGCTCACTTATTATGACCCTCATGTTTTCATGTTGATATCTTTTTCCGCTTTGACATTTATGAATTATATTCTATTTTCTTGTATGTTTACTAATCTTAACCTAAAATATATATCAAAAGGGATCAATTTGGAACTTTCAGGTTTGAACAAAAGAGATCCTCAATGAGAAAATTACGATAAATGTTCTTAAACTGTTCTATTAATTGTTGATGTATTTAAACAGATTTTCCTGCAATAGTACTATTTCTAAGGACTTTTGGACTATAGATTCCAACGTTCTATAGGATTCTATTGGACTCCATTCGATTCCATCCGATTCCATTGGATTCCATGATTCCGTATGATTCCACAAGATTCCAGGATTCCGCTTTCCCCTTGGGGAGAAGTCAGATGCACCTGAATGTCCGGAAATTTGTTGAGTTTTTTGCTTATTTTACGTTTGCTTCGAAATTTCTGAAAAAAATTTTGCTAACTGGACGTCCAGGAGACGGGAATCGATGAAAGCTGAACAAGTCTGGACTAGTGCCCAGTGTGACCACCGTGATTTACGGTTATCACGGTCACGGCCCGTGACCGTAACCATGACTGGCAGTTGGTCACAGGTAGTCACAGGTAGTCACAGATATCTAAATAGTAACATTTTCTGTCTAAGTTGACTGCATTAAGGTTTTCCTCAACGCAAACAATTTTATATTTCTCACTTGTTTCGACATTTATTCAGTTTTCATGAATCAAAATAACTGTATACAATTGTTACAGCAAATATAAAATACAAAAAACATAATCTTGTTTTATATTATTAACGAAAATTGTAAGATAACGAGACCAAACTTTAGATGTATGGTCCTTCTCGTCTTCTTTTGAGAAGGTAACTGAGATATTCTTAGCAGAAATTAATTGTTTTAAATTTTATTGAGATAACGTTTTTTGAGTTGTATCTGAGGCATTCATTATTTACTTGATTAGATGGATGTTGGTGTACAATATTAAATATCGTTGCCTTCTCACTTTTCGCAGAATATATTCTTGTCGCTTGCACCAATAAAATCGATATATTTGACCTTCGTCACAATATACGTGGTTTAAGGAAAGAGATTGCGATTCACAACAATCGAACGAGAATGACCGTGACTATGATCAAATTCTCGTGACCACGACGTGATCGTGACCATAAGAACTGATCATGTCGAGCACTAGTCTGGATAGGAGAGAAGATGGGGATCCAAATTTGAGATCAGTTTTAATTAATTAATTAATAATTAGTTATTAACTATTTCCTATTGTGTATTTTCTTGGTTTCTTTTCTTATTGTCTTTCTTTTTTCATGTAATTTCTCATGTACTTTCACAATTGTATTGTTACTTACTTGGAATATCTAATCATCTATCTAACATTTGGTATAAATACCTGCTGTTTTTTATGTGAGAGTATCTAATTTAGGTTAGAAATAAACTTATATACACAATAAAGTATTAAAAGTCTAATATCTGAAAGCAGTCGTTCTACGAGAAAGAGCTAAGGAAGTCTGTAGATGAGTGTTACTGTATGTCAAGCTTCAAACTTGAATTGAATTGAGGTTTCAAGTTTCAACCCTTTCCAGACTCGTTCTTTCCAGCAGTGTCCAAGGACTGAGAAGTATGAATTCCTAATTTGCAGAGGAATTGTCAGTATAGCTATGATAATTCCTTGGGGAAATGGGAATTGACCATTATTTCCATCAAAGTTCCCTCATTCATGAAAGTCAAAATAATGCTTTTTTTGCAATAATTTTCGTATTCATATGTTAATGTGCACAAATTTCTTGATGAAAACGAGTGTACGAGTATTAAGTACCGTGGATATTGTATTTTTTTAATTTTAGCATTCAAGGAAATGTCAGGAAACTGAGTAGGAATTCCTATTCCTCAGTCCTTGGACACCCCTCTCTTTTCCCTAAAGAATACGATCTGTCGCTGGAAACATTTAACCATCTCAATAGCTCAATAACTGAAAAAAAAGAATTAGATTTTTTTTTATCAAACTTGTGTAAGTTAATTGCTTATGTTCAGCTCTGATTAGTATACATAGAATTCGTTTACAGTGAAATCTGTCGCTAGCACAGTTATTAGTCTCAATCTAACTTCAATGAATACGGTTGCCTTACGAAGAAAAAATTTATAGAGAACCAGCAGTTAGGTACATATTCTGTATTTTCCTTTGTATCTGTTTCGAAAAATGCGTTTATATCGTATTGAAGAAAGAAATGCGTTCCCAGACTTTTAAGAAGAATTCACAGAATAAACCTCGACGTATATACATGAAGTTATATTTTCTTCGATAATGAAAGACTGTGTTACGATAAAAACGTTTTTAATTTCTAGAAGAAAGTTAAAAGTGAAAAGGCCTTTTAATTAATATACAACAGAACTACCAACAGGCCACTTTTTTCTCGCCTGACCTGATTTGACTTGGGATGCTTGTATGGCAGGCTAAAATTCATCAAGTAACCTGCAGCCTGGCCTGGCTGACCTGCAGGCCGAATCAGGCCAATCTGTGTTTTGCATTCAATAAATATATAGAATTCATAGAAAGACAAAAAAATTGAATTATTATTGAAATTTTGAATAAATAAATAAAAAATATTTTTTCATTTTTCTTTTTCTACATAAAATCAATAGATGATTTAAAAAGATTTCGTTTTTTATCTTGTCTATGTTCATTTAAATTTAATAATTCTTTAACTTCATCGGTTACTAACATTTTATAATTCCATATTTCATGTGGTCCTGTTTGTAATGGAATTGGTTTACGTCTTAGTCGTTCTATTGTTTGATTTGCATTGAAAGAATTCATTGAATTCATTTCATTTGTAGATGATTGAATTAATTTTGGAAGATGAATTCTTGATGGTAGCGGTTCAGTTGCATTTTGAACCGTTAAAAATAATAATCTATCATTCATTTCTAATAAACCTTGATGATATTTAAAATATGTTTCATTTAATTGTCTTAAACCATCAGCAATCTAATACAATAAATAAAAAAACTGAATAAGAATGACTTTTTTAAAAATTTTTTCTACCTGTTTTTGACTACTTAATGTTAATGGATAAAAAGTTCGATGAATAAGTAAATTAAACCAGTTTAATTTTTGTATACTAAATTTAATTGTTTCAACTTCCCATACAAGTTCAAGATTTTTTTTTCTTTCACGGTGTAATTGTTCAATAAGACGTGCACTATGTGTATCAGCATTATACCAATTTGTTATTACTTCAATTGGTAATGGTAATGTATTTATATTTGGTTCACGATGAATAATAATTAATTTACCATTTGTTGCTAATGATTTACGTAATATATTTATATATGACACTAATGGACTACTAAAAGTAAAATTTGTATTTTGACTTTCACTTTTAATATCTTCATTTGTTAATGAATTGTTTATTTGATGAAGACAATTAAGAAGAATTATTCGATCAAATGTATTTGCTGTTAATTGTTCTTTGATTGTATCTTAATGAAAATTATTTTATTTATCGATAAAAAATAACTCAATATAATTATATAAATATGATATTTAGAGCACAAGGTTTTTAAGTTTCTTTTTGCATTTATTGTAATAGAATGTATAATAGTTTGTCAAATTCGAGAATTGTTAAAGAGTTTATTTCTATACTCTATCGAATGATGATTGTAGATCTCATAGTTAGTTATTTGAACATTCAAAAATTTTTGCTTAAGAAATAGATTTCAAAAAAAGAAAAAGAAAACATTCTTTTTCGGATGGAATTGCAAATTAAACTTCAATTTTTTACATAGACTTTATCAGAGATCTAGAATAAGAGCAAATACTTTAAAATTTTCCTTTAGTCTCATCTCATTGAAAACAACACTTAATCTTTCTGACAAATTGCTCTCGGTAATATCAATAAATATGTAAGATGACAGAAATTGCTATTACGAAAAACGTTGTCATCTATTGTCATTTTTTTTCTTTTTCTTTGAATACATTCTGTCTGAGTATTTTTTCTTTTTTATGTCAATATTTATATGACAATCGTCATAAAACAACGAACAACTCAATGTAAGTTGACAATATAAAATATTTTTTGATTAGACATGTGTTAGAGAAGAAAGATAAATACGAGAAAAATAAAGAATAATATTTTAAAGATTAAGTTTTTCATAATAAATTTTTTAAAACATGTTTTGACAATCACAGAATTAACATTAAAGGAATACACAGTGATGGTGCTAATAAATGATTTCGGTTATAGTAAATAGGTTGTTAAATCAAAAACAAAATTACACGTGGGAGTAACTCATAAAGTTTCAAAAGAAAAAAACATTAACTGGTAGAATGAGTAAGCAGAATATTGGAATCCTGTTGAATGACATGACAAGTAAAAATAAATTACATCAGTAATACATTAATTAAATAGTAATTTCGATGAAAAAAATAGGCATTGTATTCATTACTAGTGCTTCTTAAAATTTATCGGAAAGTAATGATTTTATTTCAATCTCAATACAATTGATCTCCTTTTTCTTTTTCAGTTTCTATTACATGTATATATTTTTTTATTCTCTAGACACTATTCTTTTCTTATTCAAGGATTAATATAAAAGATAATTTTGTTTTCTTTTTAACTAATATCACTTAGGTTATCTGTTGTAAGCAAACATTTTGATAAAGAAAAAACAAATAAATTCATATTTTACATTCATTTCGATCAATTTTAAAGGTGAATTTAAATAAATTTATTTTAGAAGACGAATAACCTTCTGATCTATTCTCATATTTCATGAAGAAAATATTATATTTAAGAATGAAAAGAAAAAAGTTCTAATACACTTTGAATATTATATTCTTATTAATATTTATTTCTTAACTTACCTTGATGTAATTTACAATCAATAAAATGTACCGGTTTAATAAGAAAAAGTCGTTCTTGTATAATTAATGCCCATTCAGATTCTCCTCCGACTATACATAAACGATCACTACAATTAACTTCAGCATGTTTAGCTAAATAGAAACAAAATTCTCTTTCATATTGTTCACCAAATTGACATTTGCTAATTCTTAATGTTCGTTCATTATTTAATATTGGTAAACCAATTCGAAAATTAATTTTTTGAAAATAACGTTCAGCAACAATAGAAAAAGGTCGTGGACTTTCAGGTGCTAGATACGATGTCATTTCTTTTTCAAAATTTTAAAACCGAGAAGAATGAATAGAGTATGTTAAAAAAGAAAATTCAATTTTTGTTTTGCTTCTTTACCTCTCAAATAGAGCCCACATTGCTTTCCATTTTTTTTTCTTTTCTCTCTCTTTCTCTCTTCTTTCTTTTTCTTTCTCGATGGTGATGGTGATGATCAACAACTAAACATACATTATAAATTCAGGATGTTATGAAAGAAAAAGGTAGACGAACGAGAATTTAATAGCTTCAAGCTATGAGAAATTTATTTTATCTTTGTAAATGAAGAAAATAGAACCAATACAATATATTAAATAAAGCAAAACTAAGTGGAAATGCAATTCGAGCAAAACCATCTAATTTACTACGACTATTGATACCAAAACGTGATGCACGTTTACGTAATGCACGTTTATAACTATCATTGCCTGATAGACAAAACCAAAATTGACGTAAATAATATTGAATATTTCTTAAATATAATTTTCTTTCTGTTTGAGATTTTTTTCGATGTATATCTTGACTACGTGAAAAACATGACGATGAATTTGTTTTAAAATCTCTAGCTGTTGTTCCATTATCTTCATTTATCGTAAAACTATCAATTGAACCTTGATAACGAAGAAGTGGTTCACCATAACCAAACTAAATTAAATATAATTAGTTTTCATAAAAAAAAATAAATAAATTTCAAACCTTAGTAAAATAATGAACAAAAGCAAATTGAAGTAATGATGCAAGTAAAAAAGCATATGCCATAATAACAAACCAATCGAGTGCTGTTAGATAAGAAACAGCAGCTGTATAATTTCGTATATCAAAACTTAATGTTGCTAGACTAAGAAAAGTCATTACACCAATATTAACTCGATCAGCTGTTGCTTCACGATGAATAAAAAATGATACCCATGATAACATAACTAACATTGAACTTGGAATATATACTTGTAAAATATAATAACCCATATGTCGTTTAAGAACAAAATCAACACGAAGCATAGAAAAGTTACCTAGAATTAATTATTTTATTATAAAATTATATATGGAAAAAAGATCATTCGTTTTTTTTCAAGTATATAATAATATTAGTTTCCAGTTCGATTGTAATTTTAGACAAGACACAAAGTAAATTATTGCATAAATCTTTCATAGGTTTTTTTTTCGTATAAATAACAACTAGTTCAAACATATCCAGATTATAAAAATCTTTATATTTCTATACAGAGTAGCTCACAAGTTAGAGAACATTGAATTTTTTCTTTGTACATGATTACTTAGGCCTTATATCTGCAGGATGATACTAGTAAAAGATAAAGCATATGATCAATCTTTAGATGCAGTAATTTGTTTAAAAACTTGTAAATAAGTCCTACTGCTTATTTGTGACTGTAAGAGAAATTCGATGTTGTTCAGTTTTCATAGTTTTGTTTGGTTATTTCGATCTATGAAATGAATTCGATTTAATTACATTTTGTACTGATTTAGTCTAAAAGAGATCAAAATTAATTAAATTAGATTCATTTTATTACAGATGGAGATAAGTAGACGAAGCTATGAAAACTGAAAAATATCGAATTTCTGTTACAATCACAGACGAGTAGTGCAATATATTTGCACACTTTTGAAAAAATTATTGCACCCAAAGATTGGCATATGATATATCATTTACTAAGATCATTTAGTGAATATGAGCCCTAACTAATCATGTAGAAAAAAAGAAATAGAAAAAAATTTTATGTTTCTTTACTTTTGGGCCACTCCATATGAAAATCGACATATTGTTTGTGTAAAAGAAACCTAGTCTATAAAACATAAAAAATTTCAATCAAATAGGTTATTATTTAGATTGATTATTCCTTAGTTATCTTTAGAGCGAAAAAAACATGATAAAAGTTTTTTGCAATAATTCGCTTATTTTAGCTAGAGTGCGCTTGATACTATGAATATTTATTGTTTCATCTTCTTCTTCTTCTTCTGCTGAATATAAATCTGAAGACTCGAAGTTAAAATGAGTCGATAAACGCCGAATACATAAAGTTATATTCTGAGGCGAAACTTATAATAAATTAATCATTTCCTACCAATAGAACACATAAAAAAATTCTAAAATTTCATCTTTTTGAGGTAGGAATTGATTGGCTTCAATCCTTATCTGATTTTGTTTTGTTATAAGGATTGAATTATTAATTTGAAATGTATGAAAAACAAATTTTGATACAATTATATACATACGTCCATTCATATCAATAATTTCATCATATTGTGGAAATCTAATAAGATCAAATTGTGATAATAAAACTTTCGTATCAAAATTAACACTATTATTATTTCCTAAACGCCAACCATATTGGATATCTGCTGCTGAATTTGCAACTACAAATAGATTCACCACAAAAAAATTAAATCAAATCAAATAATTCAATTTGATATGAATTTCTTACAACTTCCAATAAAAAATTTACAAATTTGTACATCAACAGGAAAATTTTTTAAATTCATATTACATCGTGCTTTAACTGTTATTCTATAAAGATCAAGGACAGAAAAAAACCAAACCTATCGATTAAGATTAATAATTTATTCTTTTGTTTTTAAATTACCTTGATGAATACCATATTGAACCATCAGGAAAAAGTCGCCATAAACGATTACTTGTTGGTATTGTATGTAAATAAGAATATTTTGAATTATGGAAAACTGTATCTGGTCTCCATAATCGTTCAAGCATACGTGTAGATAATGAAAGTACACCAACTTCTTCAGCAAATTGAAGACGTTCATCACGCCATCGTTGACGAAAATAACAATTCATTGTAAATGACTAAATTTATATGAATATAAAAATAAATAAAATATTTTTATTCTTTTAAATACAAACCATATCCATATCTTGAATAGGTCCAAATGAACTAACTAATATATCAAAATTTATTTTTGTTGGGTCTTCTGAATATTTAAATGAACGAAAACAAAAAAAATAATAATTCAGAAACCAATGAGATGATAATTTCTCTTTCTACCTCCAAAATTTGGTCGAATATGTGCATCATAATTTTTTAAAAGTCCATCAAGAATTGTTGTTATCTGATGTGTACGTCTTGACGCAGCTGTTGCATTATCATTTTCTAATGTGTTATTATTATTATTATTATTATTATTCAATAATTGTCCGTTAGTTATTACCAACATAAATAATATCCATTTTGTTATGTTGACGAACATTTTCTACTGAAAAAATATATCCAATGTTCTGCTTTATATATATATATATATATATTAATAGCTTCAACATTGACTGTTATTTACAATTGGTGCCTAAAGCAGTTCATACACAAAAAAAAAGATATTTAGCGAACGAACGATAATTGCATTAATAAAAATAATTACGCACATTGGATAATTTCATTTTTTTTTTGTTAATTTACAAAATCTTCTAACATTTTACCTTCATGAAGAGAAAGAGAAAGATTTGTGATTAAATAATCGATGTAACTAACTATATGCGCTTAGATTCAATCGATTAGACAAATATGATAGATAGTCTAAAATGAGATTTGCGTGTTGATGTAATCATCTATCAATCAGAAAAAAAAATTTCTTATAGAAATAATCGAGTAGCATATTTAAGCCGATGAAATTATTGATTGCAAGCAAATTTTGTGTATAAGTGTTTATATATACATCCCTAGACAAAAGCCTTTCCCCTCTCAATCATTTTTTTTCGTATAGAACCTCTTTGGTCTCAAGTGAATTTTAATAATAAGGATGGCTGAAGTACTTTATTATAGTGTGGTGTATGATTGATGACGATTTGCTTCAATGAAGAATATACGTCTTTCAATAGAAATGAGTAATACTACAGATGAATTGATTGACAGCATGTTTCACGATTAGGTTATCTCGTTGTTTCTTTTTGTATCTGTTAACTGTTTTACTGGTTTGAATCATTGAATTTTCTTCATTGTTGATTCGAAGCTCTTCCGAGAATGTGATGTATTCGATTATATACAAATATGAATAAAGTAAAATTAGTAAAACATTCAGAAAATACTACAAAAAGAGATAACCTAGTCATGAAGTATTCTATCAATCAACTGATTTGCAGTGTATTGAATGATGTACATCCTTCATTGAAGCAGGTCATAATCAATCATACACTACATTAGAATACAATATTTAAATCATTCTTGTAACCAATATTCACTTGAGATTCGAGGGATTCTATTCAAAGAAAGAAATGATTGAAAGAAGACTTTTATCCAGAAGTGTATATATGTTTTTGTAGTTGGTTATTTATTTTATTTACAAAATAAAAAAAAAGAGAACAATTTTTATCATGTAGGCAATTTTTCTAATCGAGTAGGAGTTTTTGTTAACCAATACCATCGTCCATAATCTGCAAAAATTTCTTCACCAGTCGCTATATCTCGTTTAGCAATAACATGAGCACATTGTTCTTCCGGGCGTTTATCAAAAACAACATTTTGTAATAAACGGTTACGTGGATCATTTATATATCTTCCGAGTACAGTTTTATCATCACAAGGGTCAACATAAACTTGTGGACCAAGTCGCATTAAATAGGATTTATCTTTCAGACGTATAGCTTCGATTGTACGAAGTATTTTGCCTCTATAGATACACACACATGAGCCTTTGGCAATTGGCGTTCGTGTGAATAGACCAGAGCCAGCACCTAAATAATAAATATATTTTTCTTTTTATCTATGACATTCTCATTATAAATAATAATTATATCTAATGAATGCTTGATGAAATAATGTTTTTACCTTTCATATTAAAGAAATTATTATTATAATACGAGTACTATTTATCAAAAGCAATGGTTTTTTGTCGTGCATCAGAGATAATTGAAGATAATGTAGTGTAGTAAAAATAAGAATGTATGTACGTCAAAAGCTAGACATGCAATAGTCACCATAATCATTCAACAAGGTATAATCATCATTTTTTTCAAGTTAAATAAAACAATAGAATGAGCAACTCTCTACAAAATGAGACATGTTTAAGTTCTCTATAATGTTCCTTGGCTCCGGTATAATAATTTGGTGGATGTTTAAAAGAATATTCACATAGAAAATGAAGAAAAAAAACGTACGTGAAGGCCGTCTGTATCATTATTATCTCTCAACTCAAAAACCTCGTATAAAACTTTGAAACATCTCATTTTCTAGAGTATATTTTGCTCTATCGTTCTACTTCGTCTAAAAAAAAAATAATTAGTTATTTTAGGTGTTAAAAAACTACATTTGGGATTTTGTAATGATCTCGCCTCTGAAAAATTTGTTAATAATTTTTTTTTTTTGCAAATTATTATTATCAATAATTTTCGCTTCTCGAAACATTACTCGAACTCTTTTTAGTGTTTAAACAGCCAAAAACAAAAATAATTGAAAGTAAATCTTGTTGAATGATTTCAGAAGCCACAAAATATACCTTCTATTTGTGATGGTTTAACTTCAAGATCGATCATTACATCTAAAAAAATTTTGAAGAAAAACAACATTGTCTTAATAAAATACTGTTTAAGCAAAAAAAGTTGTCATTCATTATCTAATGAAAACAACAACTCAAACTCTGATTAAATACACAGAAAAAGTATCGTAAAATATTACATGACATTAAATCAAACTATCAATAATGATATTAATCATGCAAAAGTATTGCATTACTTTTTTGGTTTTTGTTCGAAATAAATTGTCACTCTAAAATTAATCAATGTCAGAGAAAATTTTTACATCGAAATTTTCATTTTATTACCATAAGAAAGATCCTGAAACTTGAAAATTATTTAGTTTTAAACATGGAAATAGAATAATACATGTATTTCTTTCTTCTTGATGTATATTTTTTTATTTTAATAGAACACTTCTCAAAACGCACACAACAAAACAAGAACAACAGTAAACAAAAAAAAAGTCACAAATGGAATATGATATAATGTTCCTCCACGAACAAGACAACAGCGAACTAGATGTTCACCGGTTATCCTATACCCTATAACAAAAAAGAAACATTGAATTTTCTAATGTAATATAATTCTTGCTAGTATACATATTTAATATTCAATATTAAATTAATCAATTTTTTTTATATGTTGATTTTTTTCTTGTTTTTGATCGATTTGTTTGTTTCCACGTTTTGATTTAAATATATACGAACCAAGAAAAAAATGAGCAAATAATAGAAAATATGTTCCATACATAATTAATGATACTTTTAAATTTTCCTCTGTTACATAACATTTTTCACCTTTTTTTTTATATTGCCATGCTTGTAAATTAACCCAACAACCAACTATCATTTGAGTTAATTGAAGCATCGTTATTATCATTGATACCCAACGTGGTATACGAAATTTTAATGCACGTAATGCATAATACTAGAATAAAAAACAAAAACATTTATGAAAAATCTTTTAAATCAAAAAATAAAAACAAATAACATACAGAATACATTATTCCATGAACAATATAATTCAAAACACAAAACCATCTAAAACAAAAGAAAAAATTAAGACGTTTTTTGTTTGGTCTAATTTTTTTTGTTTTTGGTTTTTATTATTAACCTTCCTGTTGAACTATAATCTTGATAACTGAACCAACAATAAATTAAAACTGATGCATGATGATACCAATGAAGAAAAATTAATGGTTGTTTACGAAGAACAATAAATACCGTGTCAACTAATTCGGGTAATTTTGAAAAACAAAATGCCCATGTCCTATAAATGAGTGATTAAATGATTTGTTTAAAAACTTTTTTTTTTTGTTTTTGATTCATACCAAAATCCAACAACGCCAAATGCATTTGAATTATTACAAATTGAGTATTTCATACCATGTCGACTAATAGCATAAATTAATTCCGGTAACACTCGCATACCTCCAAATATTGAAAATAATGCCAATAATGTATTCCATGCTGCTAACCATAAACGTAATTCAAATCGAGGCTTATTTTTCATATAAATCTGACCCGCTAGAAAATGAGAAATATTTATTTGTTTTTATTATTAAGATTCAAAAAATTTTTAAATAATTTAAATAACTTACTATAGATTAAAAATAAATATGCAAGAGCATAGAAAAAACTATTATGCCAACGTTGAATCATATATGTACGTAAATCTCGTAATGTTCCCATTTCATCACTATATCGTTCAAAATCAAATACATAAAATGTAAGTGGAATTTTATTTGTTGATGATGAAACAATATGAGATTGAGATGATGGTTGAGAACCAGCTGTTAATGAACTATTAAATTGCTCAAAATAATCAGAGATGTGTGACATGATGGTAACCATGTTTGATGTTATGGAAACACAAACTCTGAATATCTAGAATAAAATGAAAAAAAATTATATTTATATATATATATATATAATATGTCTACTTCATATGGGACGAAAAATATGTGAAAAAATTGATTAAAATCTCTATGCATACTAGTTTGCAATAAAAACTAGGTCGATTTATTATGTTATCTATTTTTCTTTTAAATATATAGTTCTTTATCTTCTTCTCTGAGATACGTAATTCTCTTTTTTTTTGTATTTACACCTATGAGTATTTACCTATTTTATTTTTTACAATATAGCACCTACGTATACAAATAATCGTGAATCATATGTGTAAAATAGATAAACAATTATATCTAATAACCGATCTCTATGTGTACTGCCTCGCAGAACACAATGGGTTGCGTTCTTTTTATCTAGAGGACCAAGGAAAAAAAAATGTTTTCTACCGAAAGAGGGCGTGTACTATTTATGAACGTAAGAAGTTTACGTTGGTGATATAAAACAGATAAAATATGAAAAAGAAACCATGCATGCATATATATCTATCGCACGAAAAAAATGAAATATACGAAGCAGATAGAAACGAAACATTCGCTTTTTTTGACTTCTAGTTGCGATTCAATGATTGCTATGTCCTTCATATACTTATATATATATAAAAACGTACGCATTAACACGACATTTTTCTTTTATATCGTAACTAAGAAACAGAACAAACTTGACTAGGTTTCTTTTTTTTACTACTCTTCACTAAGCAACACAAATGGAACGTAAACAAAATTGTTTATTATTCAAGTTATACAATCGATCAAAACACTTTCCTATGTTGACAAGTTGTTTCGAACTTTCAATTTTTTTTTCTTCTTTACTAAGTACTTGGTGCATAGTAACCATGAAAGAAGATAAACTTGTTTATATATGTTTATTACAATTTATTGTAAAGACATAAGACAAAAAAAAATCATACAAGTTTAAGATAAACTAAAATGCAATCATGTAGCATATTTTTGCGTCCATTGTCGAGCAGTCTAAATAATAATAATAATTAAAAAAAAAAACATGAATAATTAAATAAAATAATTAAGCATAAAATTTCATTTTCTTACCGCATTATATCCTTCTCGATCATGTTTATATTGCTTAGCAATTTCTGGTACAAGTGGATCCTAAACGAAAAGAAAATAATAAAATAGAATTTATTAAAATAAATAAAATAAGGACATATACATCTGGATTTGGATCACAAAGTAATGAACAAATCGATAATAAAACTTTTGAAATAGTTAATGCTGGTGACCAATTACTTCGAAGAATATCAAGACAAATTGAACCGTTAAGATTAATATTTGGATGATAAATTTTTGTTCGAAAACTAAATTAATCAAGAATTGAATTTTTTAAAATTTTATTAAAAGAAAAATACTAACGTTATATGTGGTGGTTTAAATGGATAATCAGTTGGAAAATTAATTGTAAGAAAAAATACACCGGATTGAAATGGCGAATCACCTAGAAGAAAAAAAAAACAATTTTATATAGTTAATCTTTAGATTTCTATTCATACTAGGACCAAGAATAGTTGCTTGCCAATTAAACATATCATTTGACTGAATCTATAAATAAGAACTGTATATAATTATGATTAAGAGTTCTATTCTTACTGGTCCAGCACTAACATTAGCTGGTGGCTCACATTGTAAATCTTGTAATTCTTTTGTAATACGTTTAAGTGCCATATTAATTAATGTCAAATTACAAAATAAGTGAACTAAAAATATTGAATCTATATGTATATCTTTATTATTAATTAGTTTTGCATCAAGCATAATAATTTACTAAGCTTAGGATTTCCTGTTTCCACGTATATATTTTTAATTTAATAACGGAAGTATTCCCAACTGATTCCGAGCTTAAGAATTATACTTTGGCTACAAGTAGGCTTAAATGAAACTAAAAAAAATGCTTAAAACTTTAGTACTTATGAGTCATCACTGTCAAGATATGACGAACTTTATGACAAGAAAAAAAAGGTGCTTGTAGTTTTTCTCAAACTATCCCTTAGATATGATCTTAATATTAACGAGTTCAATCTTAATTTTAAAAAAATTAGATTGAAATAGTACTATTAACTTAGTATCATTCGTTTATTTCCAAATAGTTGCACTTCTCTTTTCTAAAAATTATTTAACAAAAATTGATTTTGCTAATGAATAGCTAAAGATTCATCTTGGGAATGTTCAGTGCTGTCAAAACTTGCTTCTCTTTCGGGCTTGTTTTTATACATCAAAAACAGGTGTTTAACTTCGGGTTTGATCTGTTGTTTATGATGTCGGAATGTGTGTCACGTTTGATTACTTTTACATTGAATATTAATACTATTAAGGTGCTTTTGCTTTATATCTGACTTAAATATTACATTATTTTGTTTTTCTGATGCATTAAAGAAATTGCTAGAGATAGCAACGAAGCTAGAGCTTTGATAAATGGTGACGCTACGACAGAAAGGAAGTGATAATGATCAAAAGCAAAACTTGTTTTGAAATTAATTAGTAATAGTATCAGACAATTTTCGAACTTTTTCGGCCGAAAAAAACAGTTTTTCGGAAGGACAGAATAATCATTATCAATATTTCGTCTAAATTCAGCACTGATGCTAAAGATTAGATTCTTCATTATTATAACTTCGAACTTTTATAATACAGCCTAGTGAAAGATTTCAAAGTTGGACAGTTTAAAAGTTCTAATAAAATAATTTTTTTTGATATAACTTTTTAGAATAATATATTAACGATAACCAGAAAAACATGAAAAATACAACCTATTTTTATTTTCTTCCTAACGTTAATTATATTTTGAGAGTAAACAGTCAGAGACATATCTACTTTTATGAATTTCTTAGTCTTATTAGACTCTACTTATAACTAAAAGATGATGTTGAAAGCTCTGAATCAGTAAGAATACTTCCTTCGTAAGATAATTTCATTTATTTTTTTTTTGTTTTCATCGCAAAAGCTAGAATCTGTTTGACTTAAAAGTATGTTTTCCGTAAAGTTTATTCAGTACAGAAAATCATATGTATCATGATATTTCTTTACCATATTAAACATTCAAAATACAAGAGTATTTTAGTTTTTGAAAAAAATAAGATATTTACAAAGATTCTACATGAATAGATTCATATGATTTAAAATATATAAATTACCTCTGTTTAATGAATAATCGTTGGTAACTATCTAAAAGAATTTAAAATTAGTTAAAATAGACAAAAAAATCTTTTCATAATAATTGAATTAATTATTTTAATATTTTCTTTTTTTTGTATCATTCGTACCGGATATTATTCAGTAAGTCAAAATGACATTGTAAACAATAGAAAACTTATATCCAGTAATTATCATAACCCGTCCGAAGCTTTTTAAAAAATGAAACTTTAATGTCATCTTAAACCTAGTAGATGATCTTCTTTTTTTTTCTTATGTTTACAGAAGATTATTTTATCAGAAATAGCTGTCATGGAAAATAATTCTTGTTATATTTAAAGACTTACTCTAGCAAACAGAAAATATTAAATTATTACTTTTTGTTATGTTTTTGAAAAGTCAGTTATACATACTTCCTACAAGAGGATATCTACATGTCTCATTTTAATTATTGATAAATTTTTATCAATTTTTACAAATGATCTTTAGACATGGACAAACTAATCGTAATCTCATTCTGATCGAACCTGGGATTGAACGTAGGAGAAAAACAGCTGTTTGTTATCATATTATCTAATTGAATGTCTAACAAGAAAGATCTTACCAACTAAATCGATTATAATATCTCAGTAAAACATTTTGCATATAGTATACGGAAAAAATTTTCACTAAACTAGGAAAAGAGATTAGAAATAAAAAAAATTCTGTTATTTTTGATCGAGATCAAGACCGGAACTAAAAAAAAAGGCTGTTTCCGTTCATTTCTAGACTGATCTATCCTGAATAAGAATGAAGGATATTAATTCTTCATATATCTTTCTCTTATACAATAAAAATAGAGATCAATAATAAAGTCTATCGTTACTCGAAATCATAATTCATTTTGTCGAAATATCGTTGAAGTTTTAAATAAGATTATCAGTTAGATACACAAACTATTTTGAGCACCATGGTAATTTATCATAAGAAAATAAAATAAGATATTCATATGGATAAATCTCAGCATGAATAATCGAGATATATGCCATATAATCTAACAACTGGGATTGAATAATGAATCATATATTTTGCATAATTGAGATAGGTGTAACTAAAGAATTCGTTTTAACATAAATTCAACATTCTTTCTCTTATCATAATTCTAAAAATTTCTAATGAATGATTTGAAAAAAAAAACAACAGAATATTACATTGCGATCGAAATTAATTAACAATAAAACAAAGTATATCTATGAATGATTCTTACGTAAAGATTGAATTTTTAAAAATGAATTTACTTCGGACGAAATAAAATTAAAAAAGAAAAAATCTATGAATATAAAAGGAAAATAAATTCAATTTGTCATATTGATTATAGAACTTTCCAACAGTCATCTGTGTAAAGTCCAAAAATACAGAGTCATGAATAACAACATCCAGCAACCAGCAATTGTTTCTTTTTTTTTTCTTCTTTCTTCTTCTTCTATTCTTTCTAAACCAATGATTCACAGCGTAGAGTTTACATATATATATATTTTTTTTTTCTTCCTTCCTTGTTTTTTTTCTTTTTCTTGAATAGTTAGTAATATACAGCAAAATTTCGTTGAATTTTGTTTTAATCATAAAGAAAATGACGAGAAAGTGTAGCAGACAAAGGCAATTAACACACAGAGAGCAGAAGAGCATGATGCCAAACAGAAAAGAACAAAGAAAAAAACCTGAAGAACATAGATAATATTCGTCAAACAAAAAAAAAACAAACAACCCATGACAAAAAATTAAATCTTTGAACTCAAGTTTTTCTTTTTCTTCTTATATCTATTT